TATATTGAAATTCATTAACTTTAACACTGCTGTTGTGGAATTTTTGAATATTAAAAAATTTTAATATTTTTAAAGCTAAAATTAATGAGTGCACAAATAAACGAAAACTAAAAATAATAACTGCAGAATTAATTTATTTTATAATTTAATTACAAACAAAAAAAACATTTTCAAATATCAAACTATAATTAGAATCTTTAAGTAAATTTCTACCAATTTATCTAATTAAATAGTAAATATAATAATAATTCAACATTTGATAGCATTAATTCTAAATATTTTGTCTTGTCCTATTGTTAAAAATTAATTTTGAGAATGAGATATCCAATTTATTGCTGAAATACTATTTAAATGAATTTTATGTGTATACAAAATTTTTCTCTCTTTAATATCATAAATCAATAACTATCCAGTTTTGTTTCCAAACATCAGCAATTATTCATTATATTATAGACAACATAGTACGGCAGATTCAAATTTAGTTTAATAAACAAAATCATATTTCGAATTTGTAAGGTTAAATTCAATAAATCTAACCATCTTATCTTCTGAAAATGAATAGATATATTTATCAAATATGTATAAATTTAATATATTAGCTGTGTGTCCAGTTATGATGTACTTTTACATAAAGTTAAAACCATCCCAAATTTTAATAGTTTGATCATGAGAAACACTATATAATTAATTGTTATGATAATAAAGTTTGTTGCATCTTTTTGAATGAGCACATAATTTTGTACTAAATATCCAATCCTTATAAATATAAATAAATCCCATTTCATCACCAAATATAATAAATTTATCATAAGAAACTAATGAATAAATTTATTTTGATGCTTCATTTGTAATTTAACAAAATAATTATGGAGAAGAGTTTTGAAGTTCATTTTGCTTAAATACATAAACAATTCTATCATCTCCAGCTACTGCAACGTATATACTTTACTCTAATTTAAATTTGATTACGGACCTTAATGATTTAGTACTACATTAAAATATATTTAATTAAGTGTTATTTGAATGAACAATTATTTTTCCTTAAATTGTTGTCAATAATACTACTCTTTCATAATTCTAATTTATTTGTTGATTAATAATCACTAGATCTGTTATATCATACTCAAGTTTATTTGTATTAATATTAGAAACCTAATATTCTACTCGATATTTTGGTATTTCTTTTTCTTTGATTATAAACTATAAATTAGATTTATTATACTTCTACCAGACTAATTATTACTAATCAATTTCAAAATTTTTTTTAATCCTTTCCCAGATTTCATCCTTTTTCTACTGTTTTTTTTCAAAAAATTGAATAAATAATTGCTTATTATCAAGTATATTAAGAGGAGTAATTAAATCAGTAAATTCTTATGATTACATAACTTATGTAAAATACCTATAATCACTTTGAACCATAATTCTTAATAAATTATGAATTTTATAACCATGGTATTTGTTTATTAATTCTAAATATTCATTTTCTTATTAGTCTTTAATATCTATTAATAAATATAATTGCATGTAACATCTGCCAAGATTTTTTAAACTCTAATTATTATTTTAATACTATTATTTTATGAAGTCTAAGATTAAATATTCTTCTAAACTAACTTCAAATTTAATGCTTTACAAAAAATTATCCATAAATTAAATATTCTCAAAATTATATATGATATTTGATGGTTTGATGTTAACAATCATATGACCTTTTAATTCTAATTCATATAACTTTATGACAGTATTTATTAAATTTTAAGTTACATTAAGATTTTAGGTTTTCTATAGCAATCCTTTTACATAATCTTATGGATTTACCTCATATATTTTTTCATTATCATCTATCAGTTCATTATATAATTCTTAATCTTCTTTCTATTATTGAGAAACAATCATATTTTCTTATAATACCTATCCAAGCATTTTAGTAAATAGCTAATATTAAATATAAATCTTATTATTCTAATTTAAATGATAATGTTAAGGAGCATATAAAAGGTCTGTTTATTTACTTAAATACTGTTCCAATTCTAAAGTTTTAATTAATTCATTTAAATCATAAACATTGTCAAAATTATATGTCCTTATTAATTAACCACTGCAGTTTTCATAGACTTAATAATTGATTCCTTCATAAATTATATTTTTAATTGTTTTATCCATTTATTTTTCTTCTGATAACAACTCTGGTTTATAAATCATTGTTAGAATAAATAATAATTAAATATTAGAAAACTTTAAAAATATTCAATTGAAAATATTTTATTATTAAATTTATTTCTATTGAAAAATATATACCTATTATCTCAATAATTATTTCATATTAAGATGGATTCCAATAATATATATAAACAAATTAGATTGATTATTCATTGATTAGATATTTATTTTCTAATTAAATGAATAAAATATTAAAATTAATCTTAATAACAAATTTTAAGAGTTCTAATTCGAACACAGAAAAAATGTTATTAATAAATGATTTTATGGGAATAACTAAAAGAATATAGACTTGAATAGCATTATATTTTGTAAGCCATCTCAAAATCTGTTAATAATTTAAATATTGATATCTATTATACATTTAATATTTCCTATTTCTAATTTAAGATTTATGAAGTAATAAATGAAAGAAAGTTTGCAAGTTTTTAATTGTTTATATTTGAACTATTAGTCATTTATTAATAAAAATTAAAACGATAATAAAATGATTATTTGTTTTTGAAGTAATAGCCAAAATCAAGAAATTCTACTTCATAAAATCATTATATATATAGTTTTATCTTAAAACTCAGACTCAATATATTATGTAATCTGAATAATTTAAACTAAAGATGTTATCATCAAAAGTTTCTTTATTTTTTATATTCTTCTAAACTTATTGGGTATTGACATGCCTTTTATGATTCTTTACATCTTTCACATTTTTTTCTATCAAATTCTTCTTTATTAATTTGTTGACCTTTAAACATCCATGGTTGATAATCAGAACAACCTATTCTATGATAATGGTTGCCATGTGCAATTATCGGAGCTCTATCAACCGAACAAGCTGAACATAAATCTTTATTGCAACCAAAACAACGTACATGATTACAATTATCATCTTTTGTTTACATTAAATTACAAAAAGGACAAACAAGAACTGGAAGACCTTTCATTGCTTTTTAAATTTCTCTAGATAAACTTGGACATTATTAATTCTAGTATATTTATTTAAATTTTACTTATTCATTTTGCCCATGATATTCTTATCTACAAAGACTACAAAGTTTTTTCTGACATCTTTTACATTCAATCTAAGTCTATTTATATAAGATATCCTAGCCAACATCAATTGGTAAAGAACATGAAAAACATTTTAAAGGAATATTTGCTAAAACTTGCTTTTTTACAATTTCATCAAAAAGTTATCGAGGAATATTTTACTTAATAAAATTATAATTATCATCCAATGATTTATCACATTGAAAACATTTTATATTTTTAAAAACCATATTTTATTATACTTTATTATGTAAATTTTATTAAACACATTCTTTATGAAGTAATTTAGAACAACAAGGAGTAATAATAGCTTAATCTGAATTTATGTTATAAACTGTACAACAGATCTGACATTCTTAATTGGTTTATTAATTATTGTGATTATAAGTTATTAACCTGCTTTTTACTTCTTATGGTTTATTTTCATGTAAAGAATTAATTGATTGTGTCGTAAATATATCCTCATCAGCTGATTTTTGTTTCATTTCCAGTTAATTTATATCAATATAATGTGTTGGATATGAATTACTTGAATTTTTCTAGAAATATTATAAATTATTAGAGTTATTTTGCTATGATAATAATTTTACAGACTTTGGCTATTATTATTATTATTATTATTATTAGTATTATTATTATTATTATAATTGTGCTTACTAGAATTTTGTTTATTATTATTATTAATATTATTATTATTATTATAATTGTGGTTACTAGAGTTTTGTTTATTAGGATTATTAGAATTATTATTATTATTATAATTGTGGTTACTAGATTTTTGTTTATTAGAATTACTAGAATTATTATTATTATGAGAATTAGTTATTTCGGTTTATAATATTTTAATTATTAGAAAACTAATTCATATTATTTTAAAAACTACTGCAACCCTATTAAGCATGATTATTTTAATTATTGAAATAGTTATTTTATTAAAAATTCTAATTAATACCTTAATAATTATTAGATATATTTTAAGGATCATTATAATTAGAATTCTATTAATTAGAAGTTTTAATAAAACCTTCTTACTGTTCTTTTTATGGATTCAAATTTCTAGGTTGATCTTAAAGTTATTTGTTATTAAAAGCAATAGCACTTGTTTATAATTTATTTACATTTTATAATTAAATATTAATCTAATTTTATTCTTAACGATAAGGGCTTACATTAGTTTAAAATTTAATTTGATTTTTTGGTGGAGTTTGATAGATAGGATAAAATCCTAATATTTATTATTTTAACTAAGTCATATCATTATTTGTTGAAAAAAATAAGTTCCCTTAATTACTATTTAGTTCAGTTTAATACAATACTATTCTATATTTAATATCTTATTCATTTAAATCATTTACCTCCTTACCATTTAGACATTTATAAAATGAAGGTTTCTTTAATGGTTAATTTTTTTCATATATAAAACTTTCAAAAAAATGATCACCAATAGCTTTAAACTCATTGCTTTGAGGGAAGGATTATAAGGATTCTTTCTAAAAAATGAATTTACAAAGTTCCATTGATCTATCTAATGTTAGATCACTAAATTTTTTGTTCAAAAATTCACTAAAACGATCTCGTACAATTTAAATCTAAGATAGTTGTATAATTTAACAGAAAAAACTTCCAAAACTTGCTTCAATTTCAGTTGTAATAAAATTTAGAATAGGTAAGGAATTCCATTTCAAAAGTTTTTCTTTCAGATATTCAGGAAAAATTATTTAGTTTTTATCTATATAATTCAGAAATTCTTCTTTAGAATAAATCATTAACGATCTAGGGATCCAGAAATCCTATTAAGTCATTTTCTATTAAAATTTTAATTTATAAAATAAATTATAGTTCTTATTAAAGAAGTGTTTTGTGAATTGAAAAATATAGGTTCCTTTATTTTAGACATATGTAAATTTGAAAAGAAATAAATATTTCTAAAATTGATTCTTCAATTTCATATTTTGATTTTACCCTTAATATATTTTAACAATAATTTAGATATTTTTTAATTCAAAACATGCAAAGACCTATTATTCCTTTTATCAAATTAACTTTTTCTAGAAATTTAAAATTCAATATTATATTTGTTTTATCTACAAAAGTCTTCTTAATAATTATATCAATTTAAAATGATAATAAAAGATGTAATATTTACAATTCCATATTTACATCTAATTCTATCACAATATTTGAAATAATGCTTTATAAAGTATTCAATTATTTAATAAAAGTCGATTTAATTATTGTACTTAATTATATAATTTATTTCATTTCGATTATATGTAAAAATAAAATTAATGTTATGAAGTTGTAGAAATCAAAAGACTTTCTTATTTGAATTTAAACACATTATCTTCTAAGTTAAAGCATAATTATTCCCTATCATTTAGAATGTTAAATGTAGAACTGTTTTATAAGGCAACATAAAACTAATGTAGGAATAATAATGCTTGGTAAGATTATATAGCATTAACTAATAACATTGTGAATTAATATTAAATTAGCATTTACAATTTAGTAATAGAAAATATTGCTATAGAATTTGTTTCTCATCCAAATCATAAACATTTATTCTTTTAATTAACAACAAAACTATTGATGTACACAATCACTCTCAACTTAATTAAATATATATGGAAAGACCCAAAATAATTACTTGCTATTAATATTCATTAAAACACTTAATAGTTTACAGATGATTAAATCAATAAAAAAAATTACATATTTAAAATTGATAATTAACTTTGGTTAGAATTCTTTCCATCAATTAAGATCATAGAATTTATTATGATTTCATTATATAAATTATTGTGTTTTATTATTTTAATTATATCAATTTAAACCAGACCAAATTCAACAAGTCTTAAAATGGCCAAATGTCTTTAGAAAATGAATTTAAAGCATATTAAACATCATGTTATGTTTTTTAGTTTTATTTTTAACTTCTAATTGTTATGAATTAAATATTAGAAAATATGTGTTTAGTCAATTCAAGTAATTTAGAGGTTAAATTTTAAATTTTGCTAATTGCGATTTAGGTCAAATTAACCCTTAAACATCGATAATGTCAAAATTAACTGCATTAGAAATTATAAAAGTTATTTTAAACTTAAAAAATATCATCATAAAATCTATGTAAATATAATACTCCTTTAATATTAATTTCTTTAGTAAATATTAATGTCAATTTTAATTTAGGCAATATACTAAAAAGTGAATAAATATTTTGCCAAACTTTGATATTTATACTTAATACATGTAATTTACACTTAAATTAACAATTAGCATACGAAATTATTAAAATGATAATGAAATCAAGAAAATCAATGAAATTTTAATTAATATGATTATTTGAAAGGATAACAAATTTTGAAATCTCTAATCAGAATTAGATGAAATCTTTCTTTAAAAAATGAATTTTATCATTTTTAATTGCTTCAAATGGCAATTAAAGTTGAATAATAATTTTGACCAGAATAAGTAGTCAACAAAGTACGAATTAATTACTTTTAGCTATAATATTGTTAAACATTGTGCATTTCTAAATATCTTTCATATAAAATGAATATTAATCTTAATTGTAAAAAGATAAGGTTATTTTCATTTTATGAAATTTACATTAAATCAAAAGTAGCATCGTTTATATTTTACATAATGCAAGAGATTGTATTTTAAATTGCTATTAAAGATTAATTATCTAAACTTATGAATAACAAATCCAATAATTCAATAATATTATATTTTAAATAATTGATATACATTTTTTTTAATTAAAATTATTAATAAAAAATAATTAATATTATTTATAATTGCATAAAATAATTGTTAAGAATGGCTAATTTATAAAGATTAATCATGGTTAGATTTCTTAAACAAAAATAACAGAATAGGTTAGTAAAATTTCTTTTTTAACTATAGTTAGTATTCTGAGAAGAAAAATAAAATTTAGATCATTCCATTTTAATTAGTAATTCAATCTTAAATGAAGGTAAGATAAATTTCATTATTGTTTTCGGTGTAAGAAAATCTTCAATTCATTTATATTAATCATTATGAATTTTCTTTATTTTATATAAAATATCATCTATATATAATGCTAAATGCTTCTCTCAATTATGTTTAATATTTATTTAGACATAATTTAAATAAAGCAAGATGAAAGTGTAATATCGAAAATTCTTGAGGAAGATTACTATCATTTTAATTTTCGTTGCAAATATTACTTAGAGCATATGGTGGATATATTTATCAATAAGTTTGATAAAACCATTAAACTATTAGCTATGTATTTTACAGGCTATTTGTTTAATAGCAAGGATATGCTAATATATATTAATAAGAAAAAGCTTGGGACTTATCTATTTAGTACATGTAGTTTCTCTTTTATATTATACACTTTATATAGAATCATTTCTACTTTTATAATATCATTAGACCCTATTCATAATTACAAATTGTCTAATAATGACACTGAGTTATATAGAATATGAAAAGATTGCAGTTCAAAAATATAGTCTAATTTGTAAGTTAGGACTTCCCATTTATTTTATGATTCGAATAATTTTATTTATAAAAAGTTAATTTAACCATCAAATGATAGAAAGTTTGGTAATTATATTTATTGTGTTTGTTCACTAATTACTTACTTAATATTTGAATTTTAATAAAAATTTATATCTTAAAAATTCTAAATAAGAATAATAAAAAGAAAGAAATAATGATAAAGAAACTCCAGCTATTGCTTAAAATAATATCATGTAATCTCTTTTAAGATCATAAAGCAGAATAACTCTTCTTTAATCATCTAAAAAACGTTTTACTATTTAATTAAAAGAATTACCAGAGGGATAAAAATTAAAACGATATTCAAATTTTACAAGTTTTTCAAAATCTTAAAAAAATGTTAAATGTAGTGGAAGTTCTTAATATTCAATGTTATAATTATATTAAAATCTAATTAATTTATTTCCATATGGAATATTGATATTAAATTAGTCTTAATAAATCAGTTATATTAATAATAAGTGTGAAAAGATATTAGAATGTTAAGGAGCTGAATAAGTATTAGAAAATGTGAAAATATGTGTCAATAGTGCAAAAATGTAAGAAAATGCTAGTGAAACATCAAATAAGTAATCAAAAAAATTAAATCATTATCATTTACTATAGTAAGTAGTAAGAAAGCTTTAAATAAATAATCTATCTGTTGATATTTTGGATATAATTCTTTAGCCTTTGAAATATTCTGGTATATTAGGGCAAGATGAAATTGAACTTTTCAAAAATTTTTAGTAATCAATTCATCAATAAGTTTTTATTTATGAATGGCTTATTAAATCAGATTAAATAACATCTAACTTTTAAAAGAAATTGAAATTAATATTAATTCCTACTTCAATGACTAATTAATAATAAGAATACATTTCAGCATCTTCTCAAATAAAATCATCTAGTAAAATTCATTCATCAAATCATAAGAGCGATTCTGAGAATCCTGTTTTATTAATAATAATCAAGAATATTACAAATAAATATTAATGTCAATAAATGAGAGATGAATAAATTATTCATCATAGTTTAATCAAGTCTTTTTCACATGAATTAAGAACTCCTTTGAATAGTTGTTATTAAATGTTGAATCTTATGAAATAGCAATAAAATTCAAATACATTATAAGAATAAATTGATATTGCATAATGTTCAATTACATTGTTAATTCATTAAATAAATGATATATTAGATTATGCTGCAATATAATCTTTTTGTTTTACTTATAATATAACAAATTTCCCAATTCGTTAAATTATTGAGGAAATAGAAAACTTATATGTATTATAGACTTCATTAAAGAATATTCATTTCAAAATTTAAATTTCAGATAATTTGAAAGAGAGGATCCTTTGTAATGATAAATAGAGAATAATTTAGTTATTAGTAAATTTACTAAACAACTCAATCAAATTTACTCCTTAAGGAGGCAGTATTTGTTTAAATATAATTGAAGCTGATAAATTCTATATAAATTTTTAAATAAAAGACAATGGAATTGGAATAGATAAAAATAAACTTACTTAAATTTAAAATAATTTACATAATACAATAGAATTTGGAGCTGTATTAAAATCTCATTCAGGAATTAAGCAACCAGGATTAGGATTAATTATTGCAGCTAAACTAATAGAAGGTTTAATTGAATCTAAAGATAATAAGTTAATAATTAATTCAAATAGAAATTCAGGTACATTAGTTTAGTTTTAAGTTGAAGACTGGTAATAGAAGAATTAATTTTCTTCTCATTTACCAATTAAATAATAAAGTGAAAAATTAAATTAATTAGTAAATCAATCTGAATATATTGAAAATAATACAATTATGCATGAATAAATTCAAAATTCAAAAAATCAAAATGATAGTAATTTATAATCTATAAAATCTGAATCTCTTTATACTCCAAAACTAAATGATTCTGGAAAATAACCTCAAATTTCCTTACCAATAAGTCCAGACTATTTTTCAAAAAAGACCATTAATTATTACAATGATCTTCAAAATGTATTTCAATCTGATTCATCTAATAAATTAAATTCGTCTTGTTCATAATGCATTAATATACTTATTGTAGATGATATACCATTTAATTAAATAGCATTAAAAATGATCTTAAAGAAATATTAAATTGAAGTTGATTCAGCATTTGATGGATTTTAAGCTATAGAAAAAGTCAAACAAAAAATGTCATAACATTGTCCAAACTATAAATTAATTTTAATGGATATTGAAATGCCAGGAATGGATGGTTTTCAGGCTAGCAAACAAGTAAAAAATTATAATTATAATTTTAGATAATTGAATTAACTTCAAATTAGGCTTTTATTGTGATTTGTTCGGCATATGATACTTAAGAAAATATATAATAGGGAAAAAATTTAGGAATTAACACATTTCTAACTAAACCAGTAAAATAAGATGAACTGAGTGTATTACTTAGTACTGTATTTCTAATCGATTATAATTCAAATACTCTTTAATAAGAGTAGAATTTAAACAAAGAATGAAATTGAGATATCAATATTAAAATTAATATTATTTTTAATTAGTAATATTTCCATTTTAGTTGTAAGGTATGTTTTCTTTATTACAGCTATCATTATTTTTATTTATAATTATAATGTCTAAACATAATATATAATAAATAAAAATGGTAACTTTAGAGATTTATCTATATTGGAACTAATAATTCATTATATTAATATTGGTTATTGAATTTTTTAATTAAAAAATTAGTTTAAATATACTTTAATGAAATTCACTAAATTATCAAATACCATTCATATATTAATATATTAATTTTCTTTAGAAGCCATCCTGTTAAAATTTTGAATTGCGATTGATAAAGTTGTGATCCTTCTAATTAGAAAAACTTAACTAAGATTTATAAGATGATTATCAAAAATAATATAATTAACACTACATTAGAGAAGTTCTAGTTTAATTTTCTAAAATTAAATTTTAATTGTGATAGCTTTGTAGATTACAATTCGGAAAAGAAAACAACAATAGTAATTATTCAATTCTTAATTTTTGATTCATATTTTAGAATTTTACCGCCATTTTTATTTTAGAAAAAAGCTTTTCTTAAATTTATTTTTTAATTATAATGAGATATTTGTTAATATTTTAAATTATCAATAAATTATAAATAAATTATATTATTGTTTATTAATAAATTAATAGTTATGGATGGCTAGATTCTTAAGTATACTCTTATGAATTTGTTTTATATTAATTGACAGTATTTATATTGTAATATATTCTTCTATTGTATTTAAAGGTTATAATACACACTTGATTGTTCATAAAGACAGAAAAAAATCGGAAATTCAAAAAAATATTATTAATCCAAATAATGAATTGAGAATATCAAAAAAAGTATCTTTTTTGTTATTGATTACTTTATGTTAACTTTATGTAAGAATGATTTTTACATCTATTTTAAAAAATACAATTATAAACTCTCAATTTTTTAGTGATTTAACATCAGATTGATGTAATATTAATTTTTTACATATATAAAAATAGCTACATGAAAAAGTAACATCAAAGTATTTTAGAGAAGGTTACTATCTTAATAATTTTGATTGCAAATATTATCTAAGGTTCTTGGTGGATATATTTAGCAATAAATGAAGAATACATAATAAATTATTAGCTTTGCATATTATAGACTATTTGTTTATTAACAAGAATATGCTAATCTCTATTGATTTACAAAAATTTGGGACTTAAATTGTTTTTGCATGTAGTTTCTCTTTTATATTACATTGTCTATATAGAATCCTTTTTACTGTTGTAATATAATTAACCTTTAGATATATTGACGAATAGTTTCTTAATGATGATTGCTTATATACAGTATGTATCGATAGCAGTTCAAAAATTAAGTTAAATTTGTAAGATTGGACTTCCGATTTATCTTGTTACAAGAACTATTTGGATACTTATAAGTTCATTTAAACTCTAAAATTTAGAGAATCTAGTTATTGTAATAGTATTTTGTATTCACTAAATGATTCTAAGTTATTTGGAGATAAAAAAAAATGTTTAAGATGATAAGCCTATTTAAGAAATAAAAAAACAATTTGATAAGGAATCTCCTTCAATTGTTGAAAATTATTTAATGCATTCATAAATAAAATCATAAAGCAAAATAACAAATTAAATCACCTAAAAAATGTTTTACAATATTATTAAAAGATCTTCCAGATGAACATAAATTAAAATAGTATTCAAATTTAACAAGCTTTTCAAGATCTTAAAAATTTAACAGAAGCTTTGTAAGTTCATAAAATTCAATGTTTCAATTATATTAAAATCTTATAAATCTATTTCCTCATGGTTTATTGATTTTAAATTAGGCATAGTAGATTAATTATATAAATAAAAAATGTGAAAAGATATTGGAATGTTAAGGGAGTGAATTAGTATTAGAAAAAGTAAAAATGTGTGTAAATAGTGCAAAAATGCAAGATAATTTAAGTGAGTTATCAAATAAAGTATTCAAAAAATAATTACATTATTATGCCTTATAATAAATAGTTAAGAAATTGTAAAGCCATAATCTTCCTTTTGATGTTTTAGATATTATTTTATAACCATAAAAATATTTTGAAATCTTAGAGCATAATTAAATTCAAATAAGCAAGGATATATTATAATCATTCAATTAACAAATTTTTATTTATGAATGGTTTATCAAATCTGAGCTTATGATACACAATTTTTAAAAGAAATTGAAACTAATAATTATCCCAACATCCATGACAAATTAATAATAAGAATACTTTTCAGCTCCTTCACAAATAAAGTCTTCAAGTAAAAGCCATTTTTCAAATAGTAATGATCCTGAAAATCCTGTTTTACTAATAATAATTAAGAATATTACTAGTAAATATAAATGTTAATAATTAAGAGATGAATAAATCATTCATCATAGTCTAATTAAATCTTTTTCTCATGAGTTAAGAACACCTTTGAATAGTTGTTAACAAATGTTGAATCTAATGAAATATTAATCATCTACAAAGAATTACTAAGAGTACCTTGATATTGCTTAATGTTCTATTACATTATTAATTCATCAAATAAATGATATATTAGATTATGCTGCAATATAATCTTTTTCCTTCTCCTATAATATTTAAAATTTTACTTTAAATCAAATCATCGAAGAAATTGAGCATTTATATAAAATATAAATGGCTTAAAAAAGCATTGAATTCAAAATTGAAATCTCAGAGTAATTGATAAATAAGAGCATTTCTAATGACAAATAAAGAATAACTTAATTATTAGTAAATTTGTTAAATAATTCAGTCAAATTTACATAAGAAGGTGGTACTATTTGTTTGAGTATTATTGAAGTTAATATTTTGTACATAAATATTATAGTAAAAGATAATGGAATTGGAATAGATGAGCATAAACTAAATTAAATATAAAATAGTTTGCATGATACATTAGAATTTGGAGCTTTTATGAAATCTCATTCAGCCATTAAATAGTTAGGTTTAGGATTAAATATTGCTGCAAAATTAATTGAAGGATTAGTTGAATCTAAAGATAATAAATTAATTATCAATTCAAAGAAAAGTAAAGGGACAATAGTATAATTTCAGATAGAAAATTATTAATATAAGAATTAAATGTCTTCTCATTTACCAAACCCATAAAGTGAAAAGTTGAGTTTTTAAAGACACCAAACTTAAGGATTATTGGATTATGATGAAATTATTCAAACAATTAAAGAAAATCCAAAAATTAAAAATTAAAAAGAATATATAGATAAAGATTTAGACTCATATAATAATACTTCTAGATTAAATGATTTAGATAAACAACCCCAAATCTTTTTACCTGTCAGTCCTTGTTATTTTTCAAATAAATTTAATTATTCTAATGAATATCTTTAAAATTAGCAGGAATCTTAATTTCCTACAAGATAATAATCTATTTGTTAGAATTGCATACATATATTAATTGTAGATGATATTCCATTTAATTAAATTGCTCTTAAAATGATACTTTAGAAATTTTCAATGGAAGCAGATTAAGCATTTGATGGATATTAAGCTATTGAAATGGTTAAATAAAAATAATAATAACATTGTCAAACTTATAAATTAATCTTCATGGATATAGAAATGCCAGGAATTGATGGCTTTTAAACAAGTAAACATGTAATATAATAATTATTATTATTTTAGATTCTTGAAATTACATCTAATTAAACTTTTATAGTTATATGTTCTGCATATGACACTTAAGAAAATTTATAATAAGGTCGAAATCTAGGAATTAATACTTTTATCATTAAACCTGTTAAATAAGATGAATTGGGAGTAGTTCTAAATTAGGTTTTTGAAGATAAATGAAGAAAAATAAGAAAATTTTTAATATTAATAATTAATATTAATATTAACATTCAATCAATATATGCAATATATTTAATAAGCACTACCATAAAGTTTAATCTAAGCAAATATATCATAAAAAAATTAGAAAGCCTTAATCAATTAATTGCATTTTCATTAATTAATAAGTTAAAGTAAATTGATAGAATCCAAAATCTTATCAAGAAATACTTAATGAATAATATTTTCTAAAATATTTCCAGTAAGATAAATAAATATATTTAGATTCCAAAAATATCTAAACAACTATATATTTTAATGATTAATACTACTAAAATCAAATAATCTTTCATCTATAATCAAAAAAAAATAAAAAATGGACTAAAACTATCCAATTATTTGAATCTTAATATTTTTAATATTTGTTTCTTCATTTAGAATTTTCAGAATTGTATAATTTGTAAATTTTTTTTTTGAAAATAGTTTTGCTAATTTTTTTTGTTTGGATAGTTCTCTAATGGGAATAATATGTTTTCAATGTTTTAAGTGAATTCTGTATAACTTATATCTGTGAAAATTAATTATTAAATCTAATTGTAAAGAAGACGATTAGCTTTTAAAAACATTTTCAAAATTAGTATTAAACCATTTTTAGATGATTTCATAAAAATTTATGAAAAAAAAAAATCAATCATTTTAATAAAAAAAATGTATAAAATAAACTTTAAAATAGAAAACTTAAATACAATTCATTTTTTAATGCTTTCTTAGTATATAATTTATAAAATATTGAAAGCTTATATTGATATTGATAATAGTTATAAATAGGCTTTCTAATAAGCTCAAAGGTTTTAATTTGACTTAGAACTATTAGCTATTTTGTTATGTATTTATGGATTTAAAATTAAATATTAAAAATTCAAAGTTGATCCTTTTTGAGATTAACAAGAATTGAAAATAATGAAAAAAAATTGAAATAGTGAAAGCCAGTTATGTATTTATAAAAAATAAAATCACTTATATTTTATTAATATAATTTATTTTTTAAGTAATTATATTAAAAATTTTATGTATACTATTAAAAATGTCTTAAAAAGCAATTAAATTTTAATCCTAATTTTTAATTAATTAAAGAAAGGCAATAATTGGTTTTAAAATAACATAATCAATTAGACATATTCTCATAATTTTCTTATATTCTCATAATTTTTAAGAAAATTATGAAGAGCAAACGAGGAGATCATCCAATTTCTTTTTCTATTCTCTTTAATGTTCATTTTACTGAAAACTTTTATAATATAATTTCAAATCTAAATATTGAAAAAAGTTCCAAATAAAAAATGCTAATTTTTACTATTTCAAATGTACTTTATATTTAAATGAAAATAGAAATTTTTGATGAAATACTAAATTAATTGTTATTTTCGTTTCATTTTTAGCTATATCCCAAAAACTTCACAAAACCTAATATATTTAAAATAGATTTATTTATTTAGGGATGAAAATAATATTTATATAAAAACAATTGATATAAAATCTTTCATAACTATTAATTATTGATATCCATAAAAGATGTCTTGATATTTGCTGTTGATCTTAAGGAACTTCTTTTTGTAAAAGATCTTAAAATATATGAATTAATATTACGTTATGTCTTTTTTCTCAGTTTCAGATTTAAATTATAAAAGTTATCTCATTTTTTAGAAATTGATTTATAATTTTTTTTTTTTTCCCATTTGTATATCTAAATAAGACCCAAATTTAATTATCCACTTAAAATTTAAATTAAAGTATTTAAAACTAGAATGAATTTTAACCAATAAATTCAGCACATATTTTTTTTAGTAAATTATTGCAATATTTAGAATAAAAGGATAGGCTAGTTTAAGTAATAATACAATTAATATGATTTCAAGATAAAAGGAAAAAAAATCATTATACTTATTTTAATTTTCATATTTAACAGCAGCCATAAAAATGGAAAATACACAAGTTTATCCTGATTGTAAATCTAAATTATTTAGTTTAGAAATGATATAAGGTTATTTTTTTAAAGCTAAGGATAAATAAGTATTTAAAAATAACCCTAATAATGTTGTTTTTAATAAAATATTTTTTTCAAAATTTGTTATTACTAAGATTATACTAGCTTTTTAAATAAGTTTAATCTATTCCCAATAATATGTTTTTTCATTATATTCATTAAATAAATAACAAAAATGTTTTCTAAGTTTTATCTTATTTAACTTATGTCTTTTAAAAAACATCAATAGAAATAAACAAAGTGGAACCAAAAAACCAAAAATTAATAAAAGAGGTAGAATTAAAAAACTTATCCAAAAATGATGTTCTTAACGATCAAAAAGTAAAGACACATCCCCTTAAAAATAATTTATATTTGATATTTTCCTAACAGCTAGATTAGAACATAACCTAATTAAAATTTTTATATTTACATTTTAATTAATCCTGCGTAATTCAATATATATAAATAACTTAATGTACTTGATATTAGACTATTGTCTGTTTTTTTTTACATAAATTTATTATATATAAAAGCAATGATAATAATAAGATAAAATTATAGCAAAATTAATAATAATACTAAAAATACTTTAATGTAAATTAAATTTAATTTTAGTTCTGATAAATAACAATCTAAATTATTTACCATAAAGTAGAAACTATTGCTAGATTGTTCAATAAATACAATAGAAAATGAAAAGTTAATATTGAATGTAAATATTGAAGAAAAGATCCACAAATAGTTTAATAAAATTTTTAATAAGATTCCTTCAAGATCTAATTATGATTTAGAATTACCTTAATTTAATTTAAATATTATTTTGCTTTATCTTTAAAATATTCTCAATGAACTAAATAATGCATTTGATTTACTAATACTTTTGAGTGTTAATATAATAGAAAATAAAACCCTAAATGTAAGATTATTTTTACGAAAATAAGGTGAATAAAAATGGAAGGATAGTACTATATTTTCCAGAACATGAAAGACATTATAGATTTTCTTCATTTCTAAAAAACTTTCCTTCCCCTCTTATATTATAAACATCACATATTTCACATAAAGCACCTATATGTCCTGAAATACATGAAATATCTCCTACTTCCCATTATCCTAAACAAAATTTTTTATTTTTATAACACTCTTCTGTATTATCAGACAGAAGATTAGGTCTCCAGTATCCCTATTTTAAATTTATCATATTAGAAGTTATACTTTGAAATTTAGTTTTATCAAAAATAGAGCATTTAATTGCATCATATGATACAGTATAAAATCCTTGGCTTGATTAACAAATTTAACAGCCATCTTGAATATGAAATTCCCCTAATTAGCATTTAAAACTTTATGCATTAATTATATATTTTAAATTATGTTGAGATTATTATATTTTGCAAGATATTTATATTTATAGATGACTATAATTAGTTTAATATGGATCAAAATTAAATTCTAATGTACCTAGTTAAAGCTTATTCATTTATGATTAATAGGATAAAGTTTTATTTTAAAATGATCCTTAAATTATTTAATTATCTTTGGTAAAAATAAAATCTGAAACTTCACAAATCATATTATCTAAATTATAGAGTAGTTCTCCCATACTATTTTAAAACACAATATCCATATTTTTTATATAAGATACATATGCAGACTTTTATAAAATAAAAACTTAATAGTTATTAATAACTTATGAACTAGGAATCATGATCAGATTTGTTAATTTGTTTTTTCCATATTCTATTACTTTATATGGTTTAATTTTTAAAATTCTTGTTGAAGTATTCTACACAAATAAATCAGAAGCAGACATTTCTTTAGAATTTATAAAAAGGGATAATTAACTTGGACTTTCAACTAAATTATTACCATAAGTTGATGCTTTATTGAAATTTAAAAAAGTATTAAAAAAGCTTTTTATTTTTTAAGTATGGTTTCCATCAAAGTAAATTCCACCACCTTAATTAGATTTATTTTCAATTAGAATAGAATTTAAAATGATAACATTTTTTATGTTAAGTAAATATAAACCTCCACCTGAAGTAAGTGCAATATTAGAAATTATTTTAGATTGATCTAATTTTAAAAAAATCAATTTGCCTTTAATTGCAACACCTGATGTTCCATTATTTCCAATAAAATTAGAATTTATTATTTAAACATAATTTGATGAATTAATATTTGCAACAATATGTAAGCATCCTTCATTTTAAATATAGTTATTGATACAATCAAATCTAGAAAGTTTCAACTTATGAAAACCGATTTCTTCAAAATATAATATTCCATCATGGCAAGTAGAATAATTATTGTTTTAAAAGGAGATTTTATCAAATAGAAAAGTGTTCAAATTAGTTTTACTTACTATACGAATTATGGCTGTTTTTGATTAAGTAAAATCTTGTAACTAATATATATTTTTATAAAAATAATCTTCACCTTATTATTTCAAACCAACAATTTGATTTAATAATTTTTCATCTTTTTATAATACAAAAGCCTAATTCATTGAACAATTATAAAATATTACCGATTTTAAAGTAACAAAACATTTTTATTATGCTATTAAACCTATATAAATAAGACTTTATGAGTAAATACTCTCTATGTTATAAAACGAACAGTAAAAATGATTAAATTGTTTATATTACTTAATTAAATTACTTTAGAAAAAAGCATTCCTTCAACAATCAAACCCATTATTATGAATTCACAATTTTCTAATTAAATCAAGGAATTACTATTGCTTGCAATTTCTCTTATTTCAGATTAGGATAATAATCCTATTTATAAAAATAAATTTATCCAGGATTCTTAATCCTGAACAATAAATAAATTTTTAAAAATAACTGAATTTTATTTATTAATTTAAAACATAAACTATATTTTAACAATTTAGTTTTTTAATGAAATGCAATTAATTATCCTTATATCTTATAAAATTATTAAGTTTTAAAGTAATGAAGGATTTATAGTAAAAAGAGCAGAAGCCATTCTATTAAAAATGTCTTAAAATGTTACATTTTAAATTAAAATATTTAATAAGCTATTTTGAGAATTAATGCTGATACATCCTGTGCTTTCAATTATTTTTTTCATACTGTTACTAATTTAACGAACAGATATATTTAATATCCTTATTATTCCTTTATGTGTAGTAAGAATATCAAATATAGAACTTTTGACAGCCAAAATGTTTTCGAAAGTTGTATTTATACAAATGAAGTTTGCTGCTTAGATAGATGCTACTCCTCCAATAGTTTTTAAATTAAATATCTGCATAAACAAAGAATTAGTTTATTCTTAATTCACTAATTATATTTCATAATAATTATTCCAAACATTCAAAGGTAATACATTATGATTTGATACATGTAAATTAGATATATTTAAGCTTTTGGTAGCAATATTAATAAAGGAATTGGAAGAGTTTGTCATAGCATTCTACTAGCAACTAAAATTTTTGAAATAGATAGTACTTGATGGGGAAGAAATAAATAACAATGCTGCCAATCCTTTTAAAGAGCTTTCAGAATAAACATGCATAATATTTCTATGAAATAAAAAATTTTCTGTATCTATTTCTAAAATTTTATCAGATTCTATTGTGATGAGAGAAAAAAATGCACCAGAATTGAAGGATTGTAAGAGATTTCCATAAAATTCTAAATTTAATAAATTTATTATTTCTATTTATCCTGAAACATATTGAGCATTAGACATGATTTTAATGATTGATTCATCAATGCTTGATATTAGTTAAATTTTACAATTTTATATTAATATTTTTTGAAAACCAACAATCTTGAGTAATTAGTTCTAAAGATTCTAATTTGATAAATAACTAGATTAAATAGAAACTTTCTACTTTATTACAGAATTTTAAAAACTAATTTTCTCAAGTTTAATGTCTGCTGTATCATAAAAATAAAGGATATGCAAATTTAAATTATCATTAACTTCTAAATTGCTCAAAACAATTTTTTTACAATTAATATAAAATAAATAACTTATTTGATTAGTTTTATTGTTTGTCTATAAACCTGAAGTATTTAATTCAATAATAACTTTTTCAAAATTTATAGTTATTTCTTTGGATTTAAAAGTTGAAAAAATTGTGAATAAATTTGAATTTTGAATTTAATTTTTTCTAATTAACAAATCCTTAATGCTAAGTAATATAATATTTTGACTAATCATTTAAATTGATGACATAAAAGATGACTATAAAAATATATTATCTAAAATTTCAAGATTTTTTAATTATAAATGTGAGCTAAATCCAAAGATAAGAGAATTAAATAAATAATTGAATTAAAATATAATATTATTTACAGTAACATTTATTTCTGAAGAACAGTAAAAAAATTTGGAACTTTCAAATTTCGATCTAAAAATTTATGTATTTATAAGGAGTAGCTAAGTTTATAAACCACTATTATTTTAAAAATTATAAATAGAAGCATTATGTAATTGACATTAATCTAAAGTCAGGTTATTAATATGAATAATGAAGTAAATTTAAGAAAACTAAAATAAGTTTAAATTTATAAATGTGCAATTGATGAAATTTAATGATTAAATTTTAATGAATCCATTCAAACTTAAGTAATTAAAATTAAATAATGAAGAATTAATGAATTTAGAATTAATTATAGATAGATTTTATAAATCTATTGAACCAAATTGTTCTGTCGTAAATAAAGATCCAACATTTCTTATCAAACTATCCTTAATGGTAATATTAATTAATTTTATATTAAATTCTTTATCAGAGTTACTAAAATTAAAATTTAACATATTGAAGTTAGGAAAAACAAGACCAAAATTTATCATAGTAAATGAATCATAATCTTAGATAAAAAATGAATCAAAAACATATAAGTCTATAGGATATTCTCCTAAGAATTACATATTAATAAATTATAAAGTAAAAACATCTAATTTTAAAGATGCTTTAGTAAATAAAGGTATGAGATTACATTTTTAATTTTATATTACTAATTTGATAATAATTGTTAGATTATTAGCTCCAATTTTATTCAAATATTCTGGAATAATCCCTAATGAATTTAAATCTTTAGAGAAATTATCATAAAAACAATTAGTTTAAATAATTTCATATTTAAAGGCATTATTACAATCACCATTTTCACAATATTAAGTTGTTTTTAAATAAGGATTATAGTAAATAAAAGGATCAATTTAAGGTTTTATGCATAAAGATGTATAAATAGAATTTTTTAAATTTTTTTAAAAGTTAGGTGCAATTTTCTAACTATTAATTCAATATTTACTTTTATTTCTTCATTTTCTCTTAATTTACACACTTGACACAATTAAGAACATTGTTAAAAAAATTCATTCTAATGAATTTAAGTTTCTTAATATTTACATATGCATTAATCACAATAATATTCTCCATCCTAAATTTGATTTTTGCAAAAAAGAAATTAATCTTAATTTAAATTTTCAATATAATCATTATTTTGAAAACTCATTAAGAAAATTTCAATCTTCATATCCCAAAACATTTTTAAATAAGTTGAACTTTATTCTTAATTCTCATAACATTATTCTTCTTGTAAGACGAAACCTAATTTGCATTCTATACATTTTATAAATTTATACAAATCTAAATAACATGATTAACAATTTAAAATAAATTGTTCACAATGATTGATTTCTTTAGAAACTAAAAAATTATCTAAAGAGGATGATAAACATATTTCCTCACTTTCAAAATTTATAAAAGCAGTTAAACAATTCTATATACTTGGAAAGTTATTCACACAAAATCCTAAAGTGAAATCAAAACTAAAACCCTCTTCACACAATAAACAACCAATTTTTACATCATTTTATTAGTTTGCACTTAAATTAATCTGATCTCTATTAATACTAATCCATTAATAATAATTATTGACATATTCAAAACAATAAATACAATTTTTAAGTTTACATAATTCACAATTTTCAGTATGTGATGTATAAAATGGTGGAAAACATTTGGTGTTATTAAAATAATTAATTTAAAAAGTACATTGGCCATTAATAAGTTTAAATGGTTAATCACAAATTAGACAAATTTGTTCATTTATTTATATACCACAAATTTTACAATTTGAAATTTTACATAAATAACCAAATTTATCTACATTAACATTTTCATTTTTTTAGTTACAAAATTATTTGAAATTTTAATTCATTTAAATGAATTCCTCATAAAGAACAATTTCATCTACCATATTAAAATATCCCTAATCTTTACTATTTTAAAAAATTATCAGTTCTGATCCATCAAATAAAAACATCAAAGCTTCATAGTATATGTAAGGATCATAAGTTTTAAAATCATCATTAATATATAAATCTCTATCACATTTTGCAAATTTATTCCATGTTTTGGCATTTTCAAAACAATTAGAACAAGTTATAAGCTTTTCTTTGATTCTCGAAGGACTAAATAATAACAAATAAAATTTACCATCTAATACAATCTCCATTAATTTCAAAAAAGCCTTATTGACATTTTACAATATTTGATTAATTCCTTAGAATATTAAGTTTTTAGTCCAAAAAATTGATACATTTAGTATTTTAATCAATTGAAGAATATGGGCAAACACACTGTTTAAATTATTTTTAATATATTCTATTTGAATTTTCAGGGCAAACTAAGCAATTAGAATAACCAGGACCGTCACATTCTGAACAACTGTAATGACATTTATTATTTGTTTAATCTATGTTACAATTATCAAATCTCAAACTTTTAACAATTATATTTAAATAATTAGATTTATCTTATTAAATGTTTCCATATAAAATTTAAAACTAACAATTATGAAATTATTTAATTTCAATTTTTGTATCATATGATTAAGTAGAATTTGTATTATAGAAAGTGATTTAGAAATTTAATACATTTTCTTCCAGTTTTACTTATAAATATTGCCATGATTTAATATTACTTTAAATCAAAAATTCTCTAATAATTAAAAATTGATTATTCGAAAAGTTCAATGTAACTGATGGAAAATCGTACTTATAAGTTGTAATGATTAACTTATTTTGAATAGGTGATATAAGATAAAATAGTTAAAATGTGGCTATATTTTCATTTTACAGATCATTTTAATTGGAGCTTATTTTAATAAACTAATATATAAATTCTTAAGATGATTGTGAAATATTTGTTATTAAAAACCATCCGGTGAGTGAATACGAATCACAATTATTATTTTCTGAAACTTAAATCTGTTAATCAAGATAAATGAGATGATAATCATCTATTTTTATCTCTAAATTGCTTTTACAAGTACATGCAACTATATTTTAATAAAATTCAGTTATCATTTATCCAAAATCAAGATAAATAGGTAATCTCTACATCTCTATATTTTATACAATTATCAAACCTTGAAAGAGTGAGAATATTGTTCCTTATTTAATTAAAGTTATTTTTGTAAGATTTACTTTTAAACTTCCTCCAAATGTAAATAATAATTATAAATTTTTGTCATTTAATTTCACATCAGCAGTTTCCTGAAAAATTAAATCAGATGAAGAATAAATAGCAAATTCTAATTAATTTTAAGATTAAATTGAAATAACCTAAAAAAAATACCAAATATTTTCATAATTTGTATGTTCGATTTTCTTCTAAAAAATATATTATTGATTTTCAACTAAACCTAATCTGATATATTTTGTAATCTATCTTTTTGGATAATCAAGACAATCATAATAAATTAAATGTAAACTAAAAGTAACATCGTCAACAGCATTCATTAATTAAAAGCAATTACTATCAAACAATCCATAAGAGCCTTTTAATTTTGAATTACTTAATGGATTATATTTCGACCAAATTCCAAAAGTTAAGCAACTCTAATCTTAGATTTCATTATTGCTTAATTCCACTAATTTTTTTGCAATTAAGTTTGATTGATTGAGGGCAGTATTAGATAAGGTCTATAATGTAATTAAGAACCAACAAGACAAGAAAAAAATTAATATCATAAGATAATTATTTAAAATTAAAATAAATAAGAAGCAAAATTATACATGAAAATTGTAATTTAAAAGTAAAATATAAAAATCTCAAAGTTTTATAAATTTAGTTCTATGAAAATGTAAATAAGTATAATTCTTTACAAAAGATTTAATTTTTCTAACAGTCCTTAAATTAAAAGTTCCTTTTTACGAATTAAATATTGATGAAATATTTTAATTATTTTTATATTTTGAAAATTAATTTTTGTGCACTTAAAGTATTGTATTATTTTTTTTATATCATATTCATGCAAATAAGTCTCTAAGCTTAAATAAGATAAGAGGAGCTATTTTATTGAGCATTTACGTTCGCAATATCTATTAATGAAAATTTGCATAATAAATTTTATATTTCTATCTGAATAGATTTTTTTATTATCATTTTTCAATTTTTTTTGTCAATATTCATTTTTTTGTTTGATTTTTAACATCAATCTTCAAATTAAAATGTTTCTTTCCAAACGCTTTGCATGAATAACGACAAATCATAAGATTTATATATAATTTCTTTTCAGTTAATAAACCTTATCATAAAAAATAAATTTCTAATAAACAATCTTCTAATCCCTTCTAAGAAATAACAATCAATCTTTATATTTAATTAAATTTTGAATACAAATAAAATGGGTTTGGGTTTGGGTTTGGGTTTGGTAAAGCCTACATGACGTTATATTTTTCAAATATATCGTTATATTGAGTACGGTCGGGGCTGGGGGCAAAGTGTCTTGAAAGTTGAATTGCAAAAAATACCATTTTTGCCAATTTTTGATAAATTTTTACATACAAAATCCAAGGTTTTGTT